AATAGAAAATGAAAATAATTTCGTGCTATGGGCTTGACCTGGCCTGCAGGCCTTATGTTTGACACATGGGGGCTACAGCAAACAAACACAGACCCACTTTTGTTGTCTTCTTCACCAGACACTAAACCTAGAGGGGGCAATGCCCACCCAATCTTAGCGGACAACTGCACAGAACAGCCTGAAAACAGCTGTGATAGTAAAACTGCATTTAACAGCTGGAAAACAGTATTGATTTTAGGGTCACTATGGCAACCAGAAAATCTGTGCTGTTTTCTGCATGCACGTATTTGACTTACTGGTTCTTTTCCCTGTTTGATCGTAGCCTCGCATGTTGATCTTCTACGTCAGATGGAACATTGGTACAACATGGGATTTAGCTGACTGTAATCTCCGCTGAGAAGACAGATACTCCCCAAATTCTGTTTATATTATGGCATCAGTGTTAGGTCGCCTAGGGATAAGACACAACAAAGAGGACACAACTGAGGACTGCTGAGACTCCAGACCAGAAGAAAGAGGAATTTCTAGTTAATAATAATAATAAATAATAATAATAAATATGCCGAGCGATGCTCTGCACTTTTATCCAGCCATCAAAATTAATATAAACATAAGACAAAAGTAAAGGAAACAAAAAGAAAACATAACTTCAGGGCAGCCCAAGGAGCAAAATAACAAACAAAAATCCTTAAAAAATTAACTAACTAATCTACCAAAAAAAAAAGAAAATTTCAAAATACACTACCTTCACTACACTACCGATAAACAAAGTCCAATAGGTCAAACAAAAAAACAAGGGCAGGCCACTTCTACGTTTCCTTTATTTCATAACATAACAGAATTTACAAAAGTCTTTTCACTGACCTTTGTGTGCCTATAGGCCAGCAAATCACGGCTAACAAAACTGGTCTGTTGACTGGGAGCAGAGTAGTGAAAGGCCGAATAAAAAAAAAAACACTCCACCTTGTCCAGTACCGAAGACCTTTTATAGTCGGCGCCAAAAGGAACAGCCAATCACATGTCGGGAAAACAGGACATCAATCATGCAGCAAAGCCAACTTGGAAACACTCAGACACGAAGAGAGAGAAAGAGAGAGACGACCAAACATGGGACATAACATCAGTGTAGAACATAGATATACATACCTAGATGCCGCGTTGGGTTCAGCCAGGTACATCAACGGCGCCGCCATTTTGGGGCGGTCAACATGCTGCTGGACTGCCTTCAGTATCATTACAGAGCGGCAGTTTAAGAAAGATACTGTCCAACATTACACTATTTCAGGAAAATTGCTCTCAGAAAGTGGGATAGGATTATATAACGGAGGGAACGCAGAGATCCACACTCATGATTGTGTGATGTGTATTGTTTGTGTGATGTTTGTGTAGGTGTGGTTGTGTGGTTGGTGAGGCACAGAGAACCTGTTCATGTGATTGTTCTGGTTTTATATTAAGCTTATTTCATTTAATAGTCAATTTAGGGGATCTTAACTTTATAAAGTAGTTATTTATTTACAGTAATGGTTAAAGCTTTGTAGCGGTGAATTATAGCATTTCTTAATCCGTGTAGATATTCATAATAGATTAACGTTAGCACCTTCTTACACGAGCCTGAAGTTAGTGTCTTATTTGCCAGCTCTTTGTTAGACTTTTCCCGTTCCACCTTAAATGGTGCAACAGCCAGTATCTTGTTTGAATTTTCCCGTTCCACCTTAAATGGTGCATCAGCCAGTATCTTGTTTGAATTTTCCTGTTCCACCTTAAATGGTGCAACAGCCAGTATCTTGTTTAAATTTTCCCGTTCCACCTTAAATGGTGAAACAGCTAGTATCTTGTTTGAATTTTCCTGTTCCACCTTAAATGGTGCATCAGCCAGTATCTTGTTTAAATTTTGCCGTTCCACCTTAAATGGTGCAGCTTCAGGCACCAGAAAGTGACTGCTGCACCATTTAAGGTGGAACTGGAAAACTCGAACAAGAAGCTGGCGAATAGGAAGCCGACTTCAGCTTCGTCCTTCTTACTGTGTTTTGGGGGTTTATTTTATATTTATGTGTATTAAGATTAGAAGTGATTCACACTGATGGATCTGCTGATGCGTCTGATTGTGTTTCTCATGCTAAACTCAAGTTATAACGATCAGTTATTAAAGTAATCAAAGCTATCGAGAGCAGTCCATGCAGCCTAGATTAATCTGTGTCTGAGGATTATAACAAAACAAATTTGGTGAAAATCGGTTGAGTAATAAGAAGTTGTGGCTGACTTAATCCTGAGACTCATCATCTTGACCGCTCCAACATGGCGGACACACAGACGCCTCAGATAGAGAACAACAGACAACGCGGCATCTAGGTATGAATATCTATGGTGTAGAATAAGACGCAGGAGAGGCCATTATTTCTCCTACGAGAGCTGCTTTTATTAAGACCAAGCAGAAAAGGCACAAACAGACACAGCTGGGGCAGGCCGGTCACCTTATCCATACATTTCCTCCTTATGGTAGATGCACTAACCCCCACCATCTCACCCAAACCCAACACAAAACAACACCATCAACACATATCGCATTTAAACCAAACAGCAACACAAAAACAACAATAACAGCAACAATCGTCCCTTCAGTGAGGAGGGGCAGCTTTGCCTCTAAAGCCCCTTCTATAACATGGAGCACACGCCACACTACTTATTTCCTTTTTACGCTCGACTCTTCACCCAGATGTTATTAACATGTAACGTATGTTATGTTATGTAACGTATGAGGAAATGATGAGTGTTCATGGTGCACAGATGTGGACCATCCATGCAACTGGTCCACATGGCCAGTGAGTATTTCAGTGTTTGGTGCACTTTCTGTTCATTGCCTGATTGTGAATGCAATGCTAATGACTGCTAGGCCCAATTTAATACTGCCCTCTGGTGGATCATATGCACAGTGTCAAAAATAAACGTTTTTATCAAGGAGCTGTTTTTAACCCCACAGATTTTGGTGCACTAGCAGTTTGGGCCATAGGTTGTGGTGAGCTCTCACTGTGTTGCTCAGCAGGCCTGTTCTCCACTGATGTTGTGGATGATTTAGAAGTTAATCTTGGTCCTTTAATCAAAAAGTGCTCCATGGTTTATTCACATGGTCTGTCTCTCCATATGGACATGTATGTTTATATATTCAAAATACCTTTCAAATACATTGCAGTGCATCCTGAAAATACATTCCAAACTCTAAAATGAATTTCTGAATATTTTGCCATATTACCCAAATTTGCACAGATCAGGCATAACATTATGACCACTCGTACCAGCACAACACACACTAACACACCACCACCACATCAGTGTTACTGCAGTGCTGAGAATGATCCACCACCCAAATACTACCTGCTCTGTGAGGGTCCATGGGGGTCCTGACCACTGAAGAACAAGGTAAAAGGGGGCTAACAAAGTATGCAGAGAAACAGATGGACTACAGTCTGTAACTGTAGAACTACAAAGTGCACCTATATAGCAAATGGAGCTGATAAAATGGACAATGAGCGTAGAAACAAGGAGGTGGTCAGAATGTTATGTCTGATCAGTGTATATATTAGCCCATAGCCTGTATGCTGCATACCTGAACATCTCACAAAGTCAAAGTTACTCTGGTTTTCTGGGCTGTGTAGCATCTCGTACAGAGATAAACAGAGCGGGCAGTTCAGTCTATGGCCGAGCCACAGCTGTTTTGAGGTCAGCTGAGAACCAGTCACAGCTCATTGGGTGGTAACGTCATTTTTTTCCACGCTGAATCTCATAAAACCCTTCAGTAACTTCAGAGGACTTCGGACTAAAGCAATTGCTAACGTACTGAAGCAATTGCGGATAGTAACGGTTGCTAAGCAGTTATTGGAGGGTTGAAGAAAATAAAGTGGAGCTTGGCAGATTTTGCGTGGCCATAATACAGTGACAGCGCTCACAGAAAACGAATCAAATTTCATTACCATAAAAATTATTATATATATATATTATTATATTATATTATTAAAGCATTATAAATATTCTGTCCTGACTCGGGTAGGTCTGTGAAACTGTGGCTGCGCCCCTGAGTGGACTACTCTGTTATCATAACAGCACTGTTTTTATGGTTAATCTAATAAATGGAGAAAAGTGAAAAGAAAATCCTTCGGAAACTGCCGAGATCCGGACCTTGGTGTCCTCATAGCAAGTTACGGCCATATCCGTGCAGTTTACTGTGTGCAAAACAGATTTCCACTCAGTGAGTTTGTGGTATGCATGGCTTTATTTAAAGTATGTGTAATTTTAGAATTCAGAAGATGCACGAAAGTCAAAGTACAAGTAGGAAAGTGGAAATAACAATGTAGTATCAGCAAATTTTAGGGCATGAAAGCATGAGGGCACCAGTGAGTGAGTTCTCAGTGAATGTTGGTAAACAGAGCTTAAACAGTTCAATTAATTCCAATTAAAAACAACCACAAAACACTTACCAGTATCTTTCCGTTTTTTTACAGCAAACCTTTTTTGAGCTGTAGGAAGCTAACATTCCTGCTACTGGTGCTGATTGGTTAACAATACTGCTACTGAGTGCTGATTGGTTAGTATTACTGCCACTAAGCGCTGATTGGTTGGCATTACTGGTACTGAGCACTAATTAGTTGATATCACTGCCACTGAGTGCTGATTGGTTAGCATTATTGCTACTGAATTCTGACTGGTTAGCATTACTGCTACTGAGTTCTGACTAGTTAGCATCACTGCTACTGAGCACTAATTGGTTAGCATTACTGCTGCTGCATTCTGATTGGTTAGCATTGCTGCTACTGAGCGCTAACTGGTTGGCATTACTGCTACTGAGTGCTGATTGGTTCACATTACTGCTACTGAGTGCTGACTGGTTGGTGAGCTGATCAGCTTATTGGTTGAGTAAAGCGGTTTGCGCTCACCTATTTTGTGAATGTACAGGAGGCACTTTTAGAAATTCTAAGTTCAAATGCGTTCAAAAATATGACAGCGTTGAAATATTTTATGCCATTTTCTGTTAAGAACATGAATTCATTTGTCTGTCTAACAGTGATTAAGCCTTTACAAACAGCTATTTTATACAAAAGGAATATTTGGAATTGCTGAAGAGCGCCCTCTAGCATCTGGTCCCCGGGAGACATTTCAGAGAAGCAATTCTTTGGTAATGTTTCTGTCATATAAGTGAAAGTCCCTTTACCCAAAATGATAAAGCAGGTTAAATGATTTCACAGCTGGTTAATCAGCACTGAATATTGATAATTGATTAAGTAGTTAATCAAAACAGTAAAAGCCACAGTAAGACAAGCCTCCTAGTAATTTTATCACTAGGCCTTTCCATCTTTCACATGGGGAAGAGGAGGAAGCCACTAAAACTAGTGCGGAAGAGCGAATCATCCCACACCACGTAGTTTGCTGGCAGGCGGGTGTACAGCTGATCTCCCGCCACCAGAACCAGAGTGACTCCACTCGAGACATGTTTAGCATAGCCGTCAGGGCCGTTTTCACCCAAATGCAGCAGATAATGCCCGTTTTTATACAGATTCAGTCCTAGATTGTAGCTGTTGTTGTTATACACGGCAGCTGTGAAGCGAACATAGTAGACCCCTCTGAATGGAGCTGTAAAGATCCCTGCAGCGAGAGAGACACACAGGTTAAGGCAGCATGTTCCAGAGCCTCTCAATCTCAGTGGTTGTAAAATGTGCAGAATGTTTCTCGCCTTTGTCATTTCTGAAAAAGACGTTGTCTGGAAGGCATATTGCTGTTGTCGGAAGAAAAATTTCAGTTTTTGACATAATTTGAAAATACCTGTTACCCTTTACATTGTATGTAAATTTCATGATGAATGGACTAAAAGAAACGGCCCAGAATGACTTGGAAAAAAGTCTGGTTCCACTGACTTACATTAAAAGTAAAGTAGGTTTTTTCCTCCTCCTGTAAAGTTGTCATTTTGGAGATATGAGGTTCTTCCAACAACAGCGATATGTCGCTCTAAATCAACTGCAAATCTATCAGCAACAATGGTGCCTTCACAGATGTGCACATTACCCACTTTACGCTCGTAACAATCTGGATGATTCTTCTTTGGTCTGGACAACATGACGTCCATTATTTCCATGAACATTCTGACGCGTCAGACCACAATAGACCTTTCCACTGTGCGTCAGACCATTTCAGCGGCGCTCAAGCCCAGAGACCAGACTTGCATTTGTGGATGCAGTGACAAACTGTTTGTGGGTTTTTTTTTTTTTTGCATCTCAGATCATTCAGATTGTTTATGGTAATAATAGACGTCCTGTTCTCTGGGCCAAAGAAGAACAGGACCATCCAGATTGTTTACGGTCCCAGCTTTTTTGCAACTAAGGTTTGTAGAATCAGAGCTATCAAAACTGTTACTATGATAGTTATTGCATCATTGGTATTCACTGAATCGACTTGGTATATTGTGTTTTAGCCTATTAAACACACTAAACGAATCAGTCAGTGTGTTTGATTACCCCCTTATATTGTTTGCGTTCATTTTGTAACTGTACCTGTAGATGAGTTGTAGGCATTTCCAATGTTTGTTAGGACATTTTTGTAGACCAGAGTTGTCTCAGCATTCTTTGGGCCTCTCAGTCCTGCAGGCAGGCCTAAAGCAGCTGAGAAGGCCACCTTCTCTATAATACAAGAGCACAAACAGTTAAAACCCCTAAAAAAAGCCAAGTGTCTGAACCAGTGTAATTCATTGCTGCCCAAATTGGAATCATCTATGGATCAAGCAGAGTGTTCACAAAAGGGAAAATATATATGCAAAAGTCTGGGCACCCTTATCAAAATTACATTTCACTAATGTTGAAAGAAAACCTCATATCTCCAAAATGATAACTTTACAGGCAAAAGTAAAAACCTACTTTACTTTTAATGTAAGTCAATGGAAACAGACTTTTTTCAAAGGAAATTTTGGGTCATTTCTTTTAGTCTATTCATCATGAAATTTACACACAATGAAAAGGCCAACAGGTATTTTCAAATTTATGCAAAAACTGAAAAACGTCAAAAATGGAGATACAAGGTTTTCGTACGACAGCGATATTTTGTTGAGTTCTGAAGTGAAAAGAAGTTAAGATACACTCTGCAGCAAAAAAGAAAGAAAATGCAATTAAAAACGCTAAAGCAGAAGATAGGCTGGCTTCTGTGTTGTACAACAGGATAATGATCCCAAACACACCTCAGAATCCACCTTGAACTACTTTAAGAAAGACTTTGCTGCAGAGATTATATTTACATCTTTACACCTCAAAAACCAAATACAATACGGAACTTTATGTGTAAACTACTTTCAGAACAGCTCTTGTTCGATTTCGACAAAACTGATAGTAGCTGAGTAAGCATGAATTTGCATTTACCTGCACTCTCGTTCTTCAGAGTTTTCAGATCGCTCTTCACGGCTGAGAGTGCTCTTGCTTGTGCTTGCAAAAAACAAAAACAAAGCCTTTTCAAGATCCTCCACTTCTCTAGAAGCTAAAACTAATGCATAGCCATGCCTTATTAACAAGTGGAAACAAGATCCTAATGCATGGCCATGACTTAGTAAGATGTGGGAATGAGATCATGCCTTACTTAGTTGTGGCCATGCATTAGGATCTCGTTCCTATGCTGGTTCTCCGAGGGTTCTTTAGTAAAGAAAATGAACCATGAACAAGAGGCCTTTGCATGATTAAAGGGTCCCTTGCACTGTGATAGGCTTCTTCAGTTTGATGGAGAATATGCTGTAAATGGTTCTATATAGCACCAAAAAGGGTTCTTCTATTGCTACAAGCTTGACATCAAAACCTTTTAATGATGCAAAGGGTTCTTTGAGTGTTCATGGTTCTATATAGAACCATTTTCTTTACTAAAGAACCCTTGAAGAACCAGCATTTTCAAGAGTGTAGGAGATTCAGGTCCACACTACTTTCAAAACAGCTCTTCATAACGTCTTTGTGTTTCAACACAAGTGATATTAACTGAGTAAGCATGAATTCACATTTACCTGCACTCGTGTTGTTCAGCTGTTCCAGTTCCCTCTTCATGGCTGAGAGCGCAACTGCTTGTTCTTGGGGGGAAAAAAGCAAAGCCTTTTAAGGTCCTCAATATCTGGCTGCATGTTGTCCTCAGAAAGTAATCATTAATTAAAGTAATCAAATTGTGCTTCTTTAGTTTCGCACTGAAGCTAGGATGCTAACGTTACTAACAAACATTAGATGTTAATAGTCACCCAAATCTTTTCTGTAAATACATCCCCAAAACTTCTCTCAACCTGCTCACATCACTTTCAGGTCTTCATTAAGGTTGTGCGGTTCTGTTGATGTGATTTAGGACCCAGTTTGAAATGATTTTTCAAATTAAAACCATGTTAATTTTTTTGTTTTGTTTTGTTTTTCTTGCTGAACTGCTCCTTTAAGAGCAGAAAAGTGTTTGACTAATTTTTTTTTCTAAGAAAGCTGTTAATAACTTGCAAGTTATGTGGAATATCTCTTACCTCCATTCACCTTCTTCAGATTCTCCATCTCTTTCTCCAGAGCTATTTTGAGTAAAATAGCGAAAATGTAAATGATTAAAATTTTACCTTAGAATTTTTTTACTTTTATTTTATTTACCCTTTATATACTTTATAGTTCAAGGGGACTGTCAGATTTATTACAAACAAAAATGAACAAGAACAAAGAAAAAAAAACATTAAAATCATTCCAAACCATCTCCAGAGTCAGTGATTTGTATTGAAAGAGATAGATTGAGGTATTTGAATCACCTGTGTCTTTCTTCAGGAGCTCAGTCAAGTTGAGTCCTTGCTGAAAGAGAAGATCCCTGATCTGCTTCAGTTCAGCAGAGGAGTTCAGCGATGTCACAGGACCCTGTGTGTCCTGCAGGCTGTTCTGCAACAGCATCATCAGAGCAACAACAACAACAACAGCGGTTCTCTCCATCAGCACGGTTACTCACCTTCTTCTCTCTCAGTGTCTGACTGGTTATGCACTGCGATCACTGAAACAGCACTGATATATATACTAACAGAGGAGATGTGCAGGTAAGTGATGTGGGGCGGAGTCAGGGGTGGGCCACAGGGTGCTGACTCCAGTGAGTTCTGATTGGCCACTTTAAAAAAGTGATATGAAGTGATACCTAATACAGTGCAACTTTGTGAATGTCCTGGGCCTCCCCAGGCGGGGGGCGGGGGGGGGGTGGGTGGGGGGGGGTGTGGAGGGGGTATTCAGGGTCTCTGCCAGTAAGGGGCCTAAGAAGCTGAGCATTGTGTTCATAATATATTTACAGTCTAGTATACATCTTTCGATGATAGAAGTCTGTCTGATCTCTTCCATTTTTGGCATAAAGAACTTCATTTTTCCTGAAAACAAGCTTTAGTGTGGACTCTTTCCACTGTATTTTGGACAGAAAGTCAGCAGCGTTTCTGCATAGAACTGATGTATGGCTTTCTCCTTTCACGTTGCATCTCTTGAAGCAGTGGTGGATTGTGTTAAGTGACAACGGTTTTCCAAAGTACTCCTGAGCCCATGTGGCAATATTTAACACACTAGCCTGATAGTCTCTTGTGCAGTGCTACCTGAAGGTTCAAAGGTCACGCATATTCAGCAGTGGTTTCTGGCCTTGCCACAGACCAAGATTTCTCTGGATTCCCTGAATCTTTTCACAATATTATGTACAGAAGATGATGAAAGACCTAAGTTCTTTGCAATTTTGTGTTGATAATTTTATTTATTTATTTTTAACTGTTTGACATTTCTCAGGTTTGGCAATGTGGTGAGCCATGACCCATCTTTGCTTGCAAAGACTGAGCCTTTGGCAGATGCTGCTTTTATACCCTATTAAAATTCCCTCATCTTTTACCAATTCACCTGCTAATTGTGGAATGTTTCAAAATGAAGTCATTTAAAATGTCCTATAACTTTTTCACTGTTATTTATTACAAAATACAAAATCTTTTTTTTTTAAACAAACTACAATGAAGCTGGTCAGCCAAAACATTAAAAGTCATTTCTTTGTACTTTTGTCGGTTCAATAAGAGTTCAATAGGATTAACTAATCACAGATGCTTGGTTTTATTGCATTTTACAAAACTTTTCTGGAAGTGCAGTTTTTTATTATTATTATCATGAATAATAATTCTAATAAACAGGGCACCCGTCCAACAGGATGAGGTACACTTGATGGTTAGCTCTGTGGACACAGTTAATAACAATTGAAAGTTGTGCTTTCTTAGCCAGTTGTGTTGTGTTAAGAGACCAGGTGAGATTTTCAGTGAAATTTGAGGGTTCTCACTCTCTCTACTGCCGCCTGATGAATGAGCAGTGCTTTGTGCTGCTCTGCCCACCTCTGATACTCCACAGTCATCTCCTTTGTTTTGTCAACATTTAAGGAAAGATTGTTGACCTAAGCTGCCTCATCACCCCCAGTGAATAGTCCCATGACAGTGGGATCATCAGCAAATTTGATGATGGTGGTATTACTGTGGGAGGCAACACTGTCATGAATGAACAGTTTTCTCATTATCTGAAGGAAATCTGATACTCAAGTTTGGCAGCGTTCTTTTCTTAGCTATTAGAACTTCTGTGATATGAGATACACGTATGTGTTAAACATGCAGGATATATGTAGCAATAGAAAACAACAATAGCAAATGAAATAAACCAGCTGAGCCAAAGTAGTACAAGAAGTCTCTATATGTGCATCTACAGGTGAAATCAAACAAGACTGCACTGTTAAACTGCCTGAAATGAAAACCAGAAGTAGAATTAGTCATCATCAAAACATGATATACAACACGGATCAACTTATTTAAAACTCAACCTCCAAGAGTTTATTGCCATATTATGCATATACAATATATAGATATATAGAAACAGACAGTTGTACTGAATAATGAAATTCTTACTCTGCACTGCCTCCCAGACTACAAGTTGCTAAACAAACTCATTGTAAATACTAACGACTAAGCAAAGCGAGCACAAAAATAAAAGAGTAGGCTAAAAGAGCAAACATAGCCTAAACAGCTCCATCATTAATATCACAGGCTTGAATTAAAGCACTTCCAATGTGATGAACTGTAAAACGGCAGAATAAAAGTCTAAAAATGTCACTTGAATGTTTTACACACTTCAAATGTCCGTGTTTCAGTCAGAAGTCACATCAAACCCAGGCTGAATCCCAAACGCCTCCGTACTCCCTAAATAGTGTTCTAGCTATGAAAGTGTAGAAATTATAGCCTCTACAGTCAAACAGTGCATCATTTATCGAGTGTGGATGTGTCTGAATCCCAAATGACTGTTTCTTAGCTGGATTTTGCTCTGTTGGGCTGCAGGATCCAGTATTTAAACTCCTACATAGTGCACTATGTAGGGAGCAGGGAGCCATTTAAGATTCAGCCCTAGCACAAGGAAAGGGCCCCACTGGATTGGTGCTAAATGAGACTGAGGTAATTTGGTGGCCAAAAAGTACTTCTAAAGCAAAAGTTTTTGCATTAAACAGTTTTGTGTTATCAAATATTCATTGTTATATGATGAAAAGTAAAAAAAAATCCTGAAATGACTGCAATATACAGCGATGAGTGACCGAACGTTCTACTCTTTCAAGGGTCCATGGTTGCTTGGCAATGATAGCACACTCTAAAGGAACTACATTTCTTAGTTGAACACTTGTTTATGTTGATTATTAATAATAATAAATGATTTCTGAACATGAACATGTTCTGATCATGTTGGCCGCCGTTTTATAAAAAGCGTTACTGCAGTTTTATCACAGGGAAGGGAGTTTTAGGCGCTTCACATCGTGCCTAACAACACCCTTCCCTGTATTAAATCACAGTAACCCACGGCCTCTTGTGGCTTATTGCTTTAAAGTATCATACATAGTGTCCATAATACAGTATAAAATAATACAGTCCTATCATATAGAAGTGATACATCACCAGTGTATACAGGTGTGCATTTGTACAAATTGCGCAATCTGTACAATTGAGCAACGTATTGTCTATAATGTTCTCGCAGCCTCTTGTGGGACAGAGGTAATGAGTGTGTGTGTGGCGGGGGGGGGTTCTGGGACCACATTACTGAACAGGTGCTTACACCAGTGGAGTATGGGGGCGATATGGTGGTTGAAGGGAGGGGGTTTGGGGGCAAGGTGTTCAGAGCCCTGATTACCTGTGGGTAGAAACTGTTGATCTGGTTGTTCTTGATTTCACACTCCTGTACCATCTGCCAAATGGAAGAAGTGTGAAGAGGTTGTGTTGAGGGTGGGTTTCGTTCTTGATTATCTTGTGGGCCCTTCTGAGGACACTGAGGTGGGGTAACTGTCCTGTAGTGGTGAGAGGGCCGTTGCTGAGATTGTCTGGTCCATCCTGACCACCTGCTGCAGACACTTGCGGTCCTGGGTTAAGCAATTTCCAAAACAATCTGGTGAGAATACTTTCAAAAATGCACCTGTAGAGGTTCCTTCGAATTCTGGCTGACATACCAGGTTATTTTGCAGGTTATGCAGTTGTTGTGCTTTCTTTGCCAGTTGTGTTGTGTCATGAGACCAGGTGAGATCTTCACTGATGCTGACACCAAGAAATGTGAAGGTTATCACTCTCTCTACTGCCATCTGATGAATGTGCTGCTCTACCCTCCTCCGGTAGCTGTCAATCATCTCCTTTATTTTGTCAGCATTTAAGGAAAGATTGATGACCTGACACCATGCCACCGGATTTGCCACCTCCGTCCTATAGGCTGTGTCATCACCTCTGTGAATAGTCCCATGACATGGTTTCACCAGCAAATTGATGATGGTGGTATAACTGTGGGAGGCAACACTGTCATGGGTGAATGGAGACTCAGTTTGGATGGGATAATAGTGTCGAATGCTGATCTGTAGTCAATGAATAGCATTCTCACATAGCTTTTTGCCGTCTAGGTGTTCTAGAGCTGTGTGGATGGCAGTGCAGATGGCATCTTCTGTGGATCTGGACGATACGCGAAGTGGAGGATGTCCAGCGTGTCTGGTATAATGTTGTATATATGGGCCAAGATTAGTCTTTCAAAGCACACACACACACACACACACACACATCATCTAAACCGCTCATCCTTCTGGGTCGCAGTGGGGTGCTGGAGCCTATCCCAGCTGTCATTGGGCGGAAGGCAGGATACACCCTGGACAGGTCGGCAGTCCCTCGCAGGGCAGACAGACAGACAGACAGACATACACATTCACACACATACTCACACCTAGGGGCAATTTAGCGTGTCCAATTGGCCTGACGGCATGTCTTTGGACTGTGGGAGGAAGCCGGAGTACCCGGAGGAAACCCACACAGACACGGGGAGAACATGCAAACTCCACACAGACATGACACTGGCCTCTTTCAAAGCATTTCATTGCAATTGGAGTCAGTGCAACCGGGCTATAGTTGTTAAGACAAGCCACTGTGCTTTTCTTTGGGAGCGGCTGTCTAGGGGTAGGGTGTCCTGATTTTTATTGAAAAAGAGGGGTAGTGTGAAGTGTTGGGGCTACATGACCCTCCAAACGGAGGTTTTTCAGAGACTCACTCTAAAAAGTGTGATGAGGAAAAAAAGAAAAACAGGCAAAATGGCTGCACAAGCGACCAAAGAAACTCACAAATGTGAGATTTTTTCCCATTTAAAAATTACGATAACCATGTATTATCTTAATGTCGCTTCAGTGTATTATGGTCCTTTTCATCATAACAAGCATAAAAAATCGCAAGTAGTTGGCTGCTGTATGCAGTAGTATGCTGCTGTAGTTGGCTAGCTAAATTTCCCATTCCACTTAAAATGGTGCAGTAGTTACATTCTGGTGCCTCAGGCATCAGAACTGCTGCTCCATTTAAGGTGGAGTGGGAAAATTTGAACCACAAGCTTACGAACAGCTGACTTCAGCTTCATATCATCAAAGATAATAATAAATAAATGTCACCCCCCATTTTGAAGGAATAT